TGGTTCACTATTGCCTAAAACAAAACAAATACACACAACAATTTGTGATCATCTTGTTACAACACCTGGAAACTATTTCACATTGGAAAATCCATCCAGTCTTCTCACCTCAGCCAAACTTATAACCCTTCTTTGCCAGGCTCTGTCTTAATTTAGGATCTCCAGACAGAAAAAGCCTCATAACCTGATCTGTTGCACTACATCTTTTCACCCAGGCTGTCATTTGTCAGTACGTAGCTCCTCCTTCCAGTAATACTCAGGCCTTTGTGGCTATGACCTAAACATTGCTGAAGAGCTGCTTCTTTTATTAAACATCAGCCCTCAGGAGTCTTTCCTCATAAAAGGACAGAGTTATTTATGAAGTCTGCTCCCATCTATGATATATTTCAGTTAAAACAGCTGTGTGGTGCTTTTCACTGTGTAATTTTAAACAACGCTGACATATTTTGTATTTGTATTTTTAATCTGTCTTCTAGGTGTTTTCCTTCCTGTGGTTTCAGTTGACGGAGGTAAGCGAGTAGAGGCAACTTGTCTTGGCAACTCGATTTTTTTTAGAACTAATTTGCATATGTGCTCTTTTATGTGTGGTGCTTTTCTAACTGTGTTTCAGAAGACATTTTTTAAAATATTCAATCAATCAGTCAATCAATCAATTTATTTATAAGCACTTTCAAAAACAACACAGGTTGACCAAAGTGCTGGACATAGTAAAAAAGGAAAAAGTAGATCAAACACACAAAAAGAACAAAACAAAACTCTGTCACAATTAAAAGCTACAGAGTAAAAATGTGTTTTCAAACGGGTTTTAAAAATGTCAAGTGTTGGAGAGATCCTAATTTCAAGAGGCAGACTGTTCCAAAGTTTGGATGCAGCAATCGCAAAGGCCTGGTCTCCTCTGTTTTTTAGCCTGCTTCTAGGGACAACTAGAAGCAACTTATCAGCTGACATGAGTTCTATTAGGAGTATTTTTAGTTAACAGATCATAGAGGTATGACGGAGCTAATCCATTTAGAGATTCAAAAAACAAGCAATAAAATCTTAAAATCAATTCTACAACGTATTGGAAGCCAGTGTAAATGAGCCAAGACTGGGGAAATATGCTCATGTTGAGCGCCTGTCAAGATTATTCATTTAATTTTGGGGGGATTTTTTCTTTCTTTTTTTGCTGATAGATTTTGGCCTTCACTCTTAGTACTCAGCTATCAGGCCGCTCATACAACTTGTTAGTTTTAAAGCTTCCGAGTTTAATGGAAGAAAGTATTTTTTGCAAAATCCAAAGCTTAAAAAAAATCGAGGAAGAGAGTAAGTAAAGTAAAAAGTCCTTTCCTGGTTCTGTCTTAGATCATCAAGGTCAGTAAACTCATATGGTGCATGTTGCCACAGCCAGAGGTGCCAGACTGCAGCGTTCTCATTCAAGAAATCTGTGTATCTTCATTTGAGACGTAACATTTAAGATCTGACACATTTCAAACTGTCAAAGGAAACTTTATTGTCATCCCAGTTGTATATAAGTATACAGAGAGATGAAATTGTAAAGCTTAGGGTCCACAGCTTAAACATACACATTATGCAAGTAGAACAAGACAAGAACAGTGCAAGTATGACATACAAAAACTCAAATTACAGGTAACTTGGTAATATGGCTACAAAAGCTGTTTGTCTTGTTGTATATTTTTCACATTAAATTGAATTCCTCTCACACTGACTGCACATCTTGTCTTGTAATAGATGTAATGAATTGATTGTCATCTTAAGAAATTTTAAGAAAGCAAGAGAAACTATGGCTCCAGTCCATATATAGGCCCCAGTGTTCACCCATACAGGTGACATCTCCCTTAGAAAGTGTTAAACCTACTTATTTTGTGTCACACTCCAGTTTTCCAGTTTTGCAAAGAGGAAGTAACCATGAACATCAGCGGTTGCTGCATCTCTTTACACTCTGGAACACAGCAGAGGTAGGGCAGGTGGGATTAATATTGGTAATAACATTCAGACATTTTTGGCTTGCCTGGAGATTTCGCTCCTCCGTACATGGTACATTTTGGATAAGTCGGTATTTAGTCGAGTCTACAATTAGCTCAGCTGACACCTTTCTACATCATTCTGGTCATGTAGTGGATTTAATTCATACCGCCTGAATTATCCTGTCATAGACAAAGAGACTCTGGCCCTTGTGTGAGCAGTGCAACATTGAGAAGTTTGTGTGTTCCTCTTGTGGTCTACACAGCGCACAGCCCTCTAATTTTTCTTCTGCTCATTGAGTTCCCCAAACTGCAGACTGATGTGTCGATTTCTCACCTGTTTTCAGTCAAATCACTTCAAACTATTTTCCGATATTTATAAAACCCCTCCGAGGGTGCCAGGTGCTAACAGTGAAACTGGCCTTCCAGCGTGGAGGGTTTAGATCTAATATAGAGTAAACTTTAAAAGTGTTCATACACAGATATCAAATGTAAAGGATTTATTTGAAACTTTGCACAATATAATTACTGAAAATAATAACAGCAATAGGTTTTTGTCCTAATAATTATAAACATTTAATGATACAGAGGAAATCAGTTAAAGGTTAAGTGTGGGACTGACAGACAAGCTTGTCTGAGCCTTAGTTTTCAAAGCATGTAAAATGTGCAAGTGCAACATTGAAAACTTGGAATACACCAGTTACAGCTCACACTGATGCAGAGGGACGCACTAACATATAAGCATGTGTTACAGAGTGAACCGGGTATTTTAAAGCATCAGGAAACAACTTCTCACACATACACAAACAAGCTAAGTGAGGTTAGATGGTGTTGTTGTGGACACTGACTAATACCTGTTTATACCGTCTAGCCACATGATTTTTTTGGGAGGAGGGGGCATGATTCTCTTTGGTTTCATTTTGGCTTAAAATAAATTTTGGTTAGCCCGAAGGCCAGTCGGCAGCTGGCTGTAAATATGCACAACAATATATATCATATACATACATTGTATATGTCTAGTTTGTAGACAAAGGCTATAAATGAGGGGAAAATGTAAAAATATTAAATTTAAAAAGGAGCAGAGAAACACTTGGCTGTGTGCTCACCGTGTTTTGACTTTGGCCATTAGGTGTCCTCTATTGAACTGTTGATGATCTACTTGGCAATGAATCGGTTCAGATTATCACGGATTTTGCGGCCTTCCTTAGCTGCAAATGAGCAAATGACCTTACAAGCACGTCGTTTAATTGACAGGGAAATATATTTTCAACACGAATGCAAAGTCGGATTTTGATTTTTTTAAATCTTCTGACAGCTTCCTTGTCCAATTTTTGTATTCGCAGTAGTTTCAGTATGCTCCAACTTCACAGTGGTGGGATGCATCACGAGCAATGATGAGTCTGACTGCAGGATGGGGGTAAAGCGATTGATGATTTGATGCATGGGATAACAATCTCTGCATCAGTGTCAAGAAAACAGAAGGAGATGATTGTGGATTTCAGGAGGGATGGAAACTCCCAACCAACCTGCACATTGGATGAGCAGCTGTGAGAATGATCTCTAGCTTTAGAAGTACCCGAGAACCTTAACTGGAGCTACAACACTTCCTTCCTGGTTAAAAAGACTCACCAGTGCCTTTGTTTTTATAACATACAAGGTGCTGCTGTGTATAAACAGTCAACAGGTATCAGACCTGGCCGGGATTATCACGATTTCATTGAGCAGCAGTTTCTTTCTTGATTAACTAACGGACCAATCAGCAGCTGGGCTCCACTGACAGCCCAGGGCGGGGCGGGGCATCACACCAGTCACTCTGGCCGCTCATTGGACGTTAACCTCTATGCCCATGACTCGCCAGCCAATCAGACGCTCCGTTGATCTGACGAGGCTCCCGGCCGCAAACCGTGTCCTCGCTCATGTTTGTGGTGCTGCCGCATCTCAGAGACAGGAATATCTGATGGGGCTACATCTTGTCAGTCTGCCAGAGTAACCGCTGAACACCTGAAGCAACATGGACATCCTGAAGTCGCTGGGTCACCCGGAGGAGATATTCAACCTGTTTAAATTTAAGATGGGTGGATGCAGAGCCGTCATGCCAAAGTTGGATTATGTGAGTAAAATCTACTCGAAAACGCAGTCTGAGCTCATATTTATAGATTCGTTTGAATACTAACACATCAGCCACACGCAGAGAAAGGATGTTGCGCGGATTAAAAAGCAGATAGCCGTTCCTCTTTTCAGAGCATCATCACAGTGAGTCTGCGCAGAGGAAAAAACCCAAACCAAAACAAAAAGCACATAACCATATCTGGCACTTTACACCTCAAACCTAGCTGAGCAACACGGTCCTTTTGCTCCCAACGATCCGGGTGAAAACAGAGACAGCTAATTGGACTTTGTCAAATTAGATCTGCGCTCACACAGTCTACTCACACAGGCAGAGATGACCATTGACTTGGGATTTACTTAACATAATGAGCTTGGAGGGCGCATCGGTGGGGAGAGATGCTGTGCGCGTGTTTGACGGATAATCCCACTGTTTTAACGCCAATGTGACCCAGAGGCAGGACCCGGAGAGCCTGCAGACTGCACCATGTCAACGAGGCTTCGTGCTCGGATTGGCAGCATTACTTAAACAAAACACACACACAGTAAAGATATCCTTCATTTAAGATTTGGATTAAAGCACCCGAGGAACAAACCTGCACAAGATGTCAAACGTTAGAGCTCAAGTCTGTCATCTGATTGTATTAAAAGCCAAATTGTTGTGCAAAAGCAACACAAGTGCAGTAATGTCTGAGCACAATCGATGTAAACATTAAAAAGAGAAATAAAGGTTATAATGAGTTGTCCGTTTGTTTTAGTATACGTTTCATATATTTGTTTTAAAAATCTTTTTCCTGGAGTATCACAGACTTGCAGGTCACGAATTTTCCCGTCCTTCACGCTGTCTCCCACCAGATGTCAGCAAAATACAGTTTTCATGAATTCTGCTTTTTTCAGGGGGAGGGGTGTGCAAACTTGCTAAGGTTTGTTTTTCTATTGCAATGAAGGCTTTATATTGCACAAAGTCGCAGTCGACACCCCACAGCTGACTGTTTGCTTATCGCGCACAGCCAACATTATCTAGCTGCATGCGTGCATGGAGATACAACTAAACAGCAGCTAATGCGTGCTTTCTTTAAAAAGAAAACACGGCTCACCTTTAGAGAAAAAAGGCTTTAGTGCAGCAAAAACCCCAAATCGGACTCTTCCCCCCCCCCGTTTTTAGCATGTAGGGAAGTAGGTTATGAAAGTGAACTTCAGCTGGCGTTGTTTTGGGGGCAGGGGTGGGAGGAGTGTGCCTGCTCATAACAGCAGATCTACAAACGCTGCGCACTGGCCACGCTCAGCCACGGTTCAAGGTTAAAGTGCTTAAAGATCCGCGGGGCGCTTATTTAACTCCACGCAGCGTCGTCCACACAGCGTTGGTCACCTCTCTTGTCCTCTACATGGACTTCATGTTTCACGCTTCCTCAACAGGCGTGGCGTCAACATGGATAGTGTGGTTTCATAGCTGCAGGGTTGTTCTCGCTGTCGGTTTTTCGTATGGCCGGAGCTTGCTGCAAGTGTCCGCTGTCTCTGTCCGTGTTCAAGCGCTCTCTCTCGGTGGCTCCGCGTGGCTGCGGCTCCGCTCCACGCTCTCTCCTGCACGGGTGGAGGCTCGGGGAGAGGGGCCTGCAGGAGGCCGCCCGACCCTCCAGCGCCCTCAGACCTGCAGGCTTCTACCGACAAACAGCTTTCCTCTGTCTCTCCTGTCAGGAGTCCATGACTGAGAGTCTGCGGACCTGCTACCTGTACCTGAACCAAACCAGTCGCAGCTTTGCAGCTGTGATTCAGGCGCTGGACGGAGAGTTGAGGTGAGTAAAACTTTACTGGAGCTGGCTCCAGGTGAGGACACGTGTGTGCGTGCACACGGTTTGTTTTCTTTAGAGCAAAACAAAGGGTGTTGGCCGAAACACTCCCCCTTAAAAAAAAAAAATCCCTCAACTTATCATAAGTTTCTATTTTTTGTCGACTTTTGACATTTTTTTTTAAAAGTATTATTAATTCCGTTTAGTGTTTATTTCCAGAGTGTCTTACTTTAGTTGGGATTCGTTTCAGTGCCAGTTTTAGTCTTTAACTATAGTTGTATGGAGGGCATATGCTCGAGGCAACATTTAGGATGAGTATTACAAAAATAATAGAAACGCACAGTACAGCACCAAAGCGTCATCAGGCAAGTTATGATGACAAACTTTATAAACAAGTACTCAAACTAAAGATATACATTCAAAAAGTACATGTTAGGTTTTTGTATGACAGACTCTTTTTGTCCTGGCTGTGTGATGTTGTTACCAGCATCATGTGAAGCAAAATACCATGGCGGGTAAAGGAATCACAAATTAATCTAACATGCATATCTTTGGTCTGGGGGAGGAACTTGGACCAGGATCTTCCCAATTCATTATTTGGGATGAAATATCCCTGTAATCTAAGACGGACTGACAGGCATTCATTCCTTTTATGAACCCTAGTTTAATTCTTTCATTTTGAGCCAGATATTAAACACAAATCTTAAATAAAATTTTGATATCAAACTACATTTCTATGTACTTGAAAGACTCTCCATAAATAAAATGGGTGTTAATTAAAGTTTCCATTGCAGGCTTTTCAGGGTCGCAGAGGTGAAGGCTGCCATGTACCTTTTCTTTTTCTGCATTTAAAGTTTATTGTTGAGTAGTATTAATAGGAATATAAAAAATATCTTTGATGCAGCCATGCAGGAGTTTTTCACATATAGACACTTGACATACCTGCTACCTTTATCATTGTGTAAATCCTCCTTGTGTCTATGATCCAGACATGCAGTTTGCATTTTCTACCTGGTTCTGCGTGCACTGGACACAGTGGAGGATGACATGACCATTCCTCTGGACAAGAAGGTTCCCATGCTCAATGACTTCCACACCTTCCTGTACCAGGATGAGTGGTGCTTCATGGAGAGCCAGGAGAAAGATCGTCAGGTCCTGGAAGACTTCCCAACGGTCAGTGGGTTCTCAAGGGTTATTTACCAGGTTTGGGCAAATTAAGGCAGTGACTAATTGGTAACTATAACCTTTGTCCTCTAAAACCAGATATCGCTGGAATTCAGAAACCTTGCTCAGGAATACAGAGACGTCATCTCGGATATCTGCCACCATATGGGAGTGGGAATGGCTGAATTCCTGGAGAAGAAAGTGGGATCTATGAAGGAGTGGGACCAGGTAAATGTTATGCTTCTGTTAGTTGTTCTAGCACCATAATGACTACATAAATGACTGCTTTGAGTTGGGGGGGGGGCATAAAGAGTAAGTTCTAAAATTACTGGAGTAACGACCCAAAAGAATTATTACATTGCAAAATAAAAGCCTTTTATTTTGAATAAAATGTCATCACTCTGATTAAAAACGGAATGGATGTTATCAGAGGTTTGTAAGCTACAAACTAGCTGTTGACTCACTGGTACAGCTCAGGAGCAGATAGTAAGCTTACAATTTTATTGAATTAGCTACAGTAGCGTTCAGATTTGCAGCTCCTTACTTCTTAAATCAGCTGCAGAATCAACCAGAACTTAAGGAAGGTGATTTTAAATGTTTCCTTTATTTATGGCCGTAGACAATTTTGCTTTGACTAATTTATTCATTATTTATTGAGACAGAGGTTTTATATATTTCTTTTTTATTGCCTGTACTTAATTGCTTTATGGAAGCGTGCGTGCGTGTGCGTGCTACTGTTTTATAAAACTCCTCTGATTGTACTGCTGTCTTTCTTGGCCAGGACACTCTTGTAGAAGAGATTTTTAATCTAAAGAATCTTGTCATGTAGCTATATGATTCAGCTCTGAATATTACATAATATGAATGTTTAATCATAAGCCAGGATTTTGTTTCTCTTAAGTCCTGCACTGTGATTTGTTTTTCTGTTTTTGTGCAGTATTGTCACTATGTTGCCGGTTTAGTCGGCATTGGCCTGTCCCGGCTGTTCTCTGCGTCTCAGCTGGAGGACCCTGAAGTTGGGCAGGACACTGAACTTGCGAACTCCATGGGCCTGTTTCTCCAAAAGACTAACATCATCCGAGACTATCTAGAGGACACACAAGAGGGACGTGCCTTCTGGCCACAAGAGGTAGAAACAAAATCTCTTGTCTAATACCAGTGTGCCTGACCAGGGTCCGGTACTATGAAGCAAGTTTAGAATACCCAAGATATCTTTCACTTATCTGGGTTTGCTTACCCTAATCGGGCCAAGCAGTCGCACGAAGGAGGTTATCAACTCGATACGTCAGCCCAGGGGTTTCTAATCTAGCTGTGACCATGTTCCCATGAATGGGGCAATTCTCCAGGAATTATGCTATTTCCCACTGAACTCATTGGTGCAGTCATAAATACTTAGCAATATCTGCCATATTTCAAGCAACTTAAAAAAAGTCCAGATGCTTTTCTTTCCAAGCTCCTTAGACTACAATGACCTGGATGACTGAGAACCTTCACAGACACCTGCCATATTCATAATACAAAATGTGCTTTGTAACATTTGTTTCTATGCAGGAGGGGCTTTATACTGTGTAATGTCTTTTTTTAAAATTTATTTATGCTTAACACTAGTGACGGCTGTGGTCCTATTTGTAGTGTTTTCATGTTGTACAAACGTCTGTTTATGTTGGCTACAGAAGGCCTTTCTGACATTTCTGAGAATGTGGTGCAAACCTTTACTTGGGCTCTAGGAAAATCTATGTTGCAGGTCAAAGGTTAAGATCACTGTGACACTAGAAAATGTGGTACTATGAAAAAAATCTTGATGCACCTATCATTCTTTTATATTTTGCTTCCAAGGACCCAGACTTTCTTTCCTTTTAAAGTGGTCAGAAGCAAGAGTTCTCCAGGGTTTCTGTAGGTATTTCAGAGTTTGTCTTTGGACATTGGATGCTTTTTCACTCATTTTGCCTCAGCCCTTGACTGTTGTTGTTATTGTTGTTAAGCCACTTAACACTGACCTATGGAGAGGGAAAAAAAAACAACAACCCCAAAACAAACCCACCTAATTCAAGGGATGTCTGCAAATAACGGTCAACTTGGCAAATAACCCATTTTAAATGGTATCTTTGGGCATTTGGTAACTAGTCTGTTGCAAAAGCACATCATTTGTTCCCGTTTATTTAACTTTTATAATAACTTTTTAAATGGTATTTTTGTACCAACAAAGTGATTCTTTAAGAGGTATTAGCTGAAAACTTGGCATATCTTTAGTAGTGTGTCCTTAAAACTGGAAACTGGACAAGTGGAGGGCAGAAGAGGAAGCAGGTCTCCAAAAAATTATCTACAGCAGGTGAACGGTATATGAAAGTCATGCCCCCAAGATTTGGGCTGAACTTCAGCCAACGGTGTTGGAGAAATTGTCTAAATTGATGGTACTTTTCTGCATTCATAATTCCATCAGATTGAAAACCTACCTGCATAGAAAAACGCACAGAGGACACTATCAAGCCATGGATAGTGACCTCTCCAGAGCCAGGAGCTCAACATTATGATAGTAGTGTTGGGTTGTCTTGACAGAAAATGGACCAAATGCGGTCAACGTTCCAAAGAAGAGTTTCAGATGTCCCTCAGGAACCCTGCAGTTTTACAATAAAAGGACAGTCATGTGGCCATGCTTTCACCCTGGCCTCCAATCTCTAATCAACTTATTCTCGGGTCTGTGGGATAAGTGTTTGTACTAAATTTGAAGAAATTTGCTCAAGGCTTCTAAGAAGTACACAACGAACAGAATCCAGCCAAGGCTGGTGCCAGTACGGATAAATAAAATCCTTGTTACATGCTGTGTGCAGGCTTGGAGCCAGTTTGCAGGCCGTCTTGAGGATTTGGCCCAGCCTGAGAAGCTGGAGTCGGCGCTGTCCTGTCTCAACCTGCTGGTCACTGATGCTCTGCGTCACGTCCCGGATGTTATTGCCTACCTGTCCCGCCTGCGCAACCAGAGCGTCTTTAATTTCTGTGCCATTCCACAGGTATGCGCTGCGTCACAATCTCCTCCAAACCATAACATTTAAACCTGTTCATTTTTTATTTATTTTTCAAGATCAGAAAACAAACCATTCTGTCCATGTCCTACAGTCTTACTGGAACACGTTTTGATTTGCATTTAAAGTTTGCGAAACATTTTAATATTTTGTTTTAATAATAACTTTTTCTGTAACTGATAAACGATGGAAAATGTTGCGCTTAAATAGAGAGACCAATGAATACTGACTCATGAGAAATGATCAAACACTTCCACTTCACATGTTGTCATTTCTCTCTTGACCAGGTGATGGCAATAGCTACACTGTCAACGTGCTACAACAACCCCATGGTGTTTCAGGGAGTGGTGAAGATCCGAAAGGGGCAGGCAGTCACTCTCATGATGGAAGCCACCAATATGAGTGCTGTGCAGACAATTATCGCCCAGTACAGCCAGGAGGTGGGTTATTTTTATTTATTTATTTTTAAACTCAGTCTCTCTCTACTACTTCCACCATATTGGTGTACTGAATGTGCTCTCTCTCTCCAGATATTACACAAGGTGTCCCCCACCGACCCGTCTCGGGAAAAGACGCTCCACATCTTGGCTGTAATCCGTGAAAAGTCCGCCCTGTCGCAGTCCAGCCTCCGCTCCAGGACCCACCACCTGTCGCCCATGTACCTTTCTGCTGCTATGGTGCTCACTGCCCTCAGCTGGCAGTACCTTAGCACTACAGCGGCACAGGCCCAAGGCACCAGTGACATGCAGAGACCTTGAACTAATTTAACCCCCTCCTTTCCTGAGCCTCTATACAAAAGAAGCCCCTGTGCCCCCTCTGAAGGTCTGTTTCTAGAGGAATTTACAGATTCACTGTGGCTGTTACAGGATGATGGACACTCTAAAGTATGACTCTGTAAGTAGGCTGGTGTCATTAAATGATTTGATCTGTAGCAGTCCATCCTGTGTCTAGATAAATTATATACACACATTGGTGTGTGTGGGTATATTTGCCATAAATGGTACACTTCCACAGTTCAGGGTGGGTTTTTTTTTTTTTT